TATTTAGAAATAAAACATTTTCCCCAGAATTTTAAATTCAGCACAGGCGACACCTAGGGGCAAAATAATGAGAAAATCAGAGCGGCAATTCCAAGGATTTCAGAACTACAACTGATGGACAGCTCATCTTTGCTTTGAAGGTTCCAAGTAACCTAGTAGAACTAGAAACAAGTTTACCATGACTATCAAGATGCCTTACATGACAACACATCAGAGAGATTTCATAAAGAGTGACTTGTTATATAATATCTACCAACATTTTACCATAAAAAGAAAAAAGCCCAGAAACTATAAAAGAAAAACTGAATAAGACTTTCCTTTGAAACTTTTCCAGTTATTTTTTTAAAAAAATTACAATATTTAAAATATCTTGCCATGTAATCAATGTCTTCCTAAATTAAAACATAAGGAACTTGTGTAATTTAATATTTAAAAATTTTGCACAATTACTAATCAGAGAGCCTCCTTCCCCCGTTCATAGATGCAGGAAAAATCCTTAAATCTTTGCTAATTATTAAAGACATTATTTAGTACACAAACTATTAGAGGTAAAGTGCTTTGGACTTTTCTTGGCATTATGTATTTCAATTTGGGCTTTATAAGAAAACTAAAAGAAACAACATAAGAAATGTAGCTTGATAGACAAGTAGATATAGTGACCTTTTAATTATAGTTCAAGAACTATTTTCAATGCCTCAGTATCCATCTCAGAAGATTCCTAAACATTTATCTCTAATCAGTTTTTATTACATAAGAAAAAAGGTACTTAAAGTTTACTTTTACAAGAATAAAGCATGAATTATATTATGATTATTTCATACATTTGTGAAACCATAGATTCCTTATCCTAATAAAGAAATAAAGCATACTTAAACAGCTTCTAAGTAGATCAGAGTGGATAAGTCATAAACGTTTGTATTATGTCACTAAAATTTTAGGATCATTTAATTTACTTAGAAATAAATGTTGAACTCTCAACTTTTAAACAAACCTTAAGGCTAAGTTATGCACCTATTTCTTCTAAATATGAGATAAAGCTTCACAAAATTCATGTGTGGCTTACTTTTGTAGCTATGGTATATTTCAATATGCTTTTATTTAGAAATAAGTTTATCTGAAACCTACAGTACTTAATCTCTGATACTATGTCACACAAACTGCATCATTTCAATCTTGGCTCTTACGTAATTTTTTAATAAAAAGAATGTTAAAGGGAAGTGTGGGGAGAGAATTTAAAATGTTTTAGATCTTCACTATACCACACCAAGTCTTTTGTACTATGCTGTATAACCTGCAATATAATATGATCACACATTAAAGTCTCTAAATGTTTGCTATATTATACATATATGCAAAAACTATGAACTTGGGTTTGTGTGAGAACCATTGGGAAAAATAGTGCAATGTTCTGAATTAATACGTTGTAGCAGAAAATAATCTAGGTGACAAAAAAGAACCAAAAAAAGGATTGAGTCATTTGAAGATGCAAGAATAAATTAGAGGATGAGTCTCTTTCAGAAAAACATATTTTGTTTCAAATATGTAGTTTAGATATAAGCCTCATCAAACAAACACCTAGCAAAGGAATGAATCTAAAATCATAACTGATTTGCTGATGAAGATAATTAGTGCAGAGTACAAAGGAGATAAGCAATTCTAGCCGTAGGATAAACCATTTCTGGATAGCATCAAGGCTTCAGGGAAAATGGACATACGAGCAAAAGAAACTAGAATAAAAATAAAACTGAAGGAACAGAATATAACAAAAATGCAGATTAATTGAGAATAAATGAATGGAAATATGATATGAATTTGATGGATAAGCCATTGAAAACAAAACTTGGGTCTTGTTCTTGTATGTGATAACTGTAGTGAAACTTTTGTATGCACAGAGATGGAAAGACTTACAGCTTCCCGCAAAGGAAAAATGGATGGTGAAGTTAATGGCACTTGCTGAGATGGCGAAATTAACTACCTTGATTAAAGGAGAGATTTTGACTAGCTTTGTTTCTATGTGGAAACCATTTTGGGACTTTGTTCTAGAAACTGAAAGAAGTGCTATATTAATTTTTGGATTGGATTATTAGAATGGCTTGTGATTACAGGAATACAATGTAACACTGAATTTTATACCAAAAAGTTAACGCATTTTATATTTGTAACTGTACTGAAGAAAGTTGGAAGTTACCCTACTTTTTCTTTATTCCTTTGCACCTTCCCCTTCCCTATCTTTCCTTTTTAATTTTTATTTTTTTTATTTTTGAAGAAATTTAATAAAAGTATATTTTAGAAAAAGAAATATATGAAAACCACTAAGAATTTGCAGTGCCATGAATTGGAGTTATAATGGAAGCAATGAATGAGTACAATTTTAAGACCAAACAAATTCAGATAATTTTTGGGAGGAATAAGTATTTGTTTTGGACTGGATGAAAAGAACAAAACAAGAAGCCTCCAGAAGAATAAATAAAATCAAAAACTGAATGAAATAATCCAAAATGAAGCCAACATGAAAGGACAGAGTATTCTATAGATTTATATAGATATTATAGCAACATGTCAATAAGTGGAATTAAAGCAAATGCTGTAAATGTAAGCATTCAATGGAAAATAAAGGAACCAAAAGATGCTTGAAAAATATTTTTAAAAAGTAAGGCTACAGGTGTAGATGGTGTAACTGGAGAACTGTTAAAATATGGACCTGACTTACAGAAAAATAAGGATGTGAAGATCACATCTGTGCCTGATTGAAAGAATGTATCCCTTTACAAATGTATTGCAGAAGGCAGAAACTTCAAGGGTAATTGTTCATTAAGTGTATTTGGGAAGGCATTCGTCAGAATTCTGACTGAAAAACACAGTAAAAAAGACAATGAGCCAAACCTGGGAAGAGCAAATGCAACTCTACATTGGAAAGGAAATGTACAGAAAAGGGGAGGAGGAGCTAAAATGTCATTGGAAAAGGTATAAAAATAGTGGTTGATTTAGAAAAAGTGCATGATGAAGAGGTTTGTTAGATAATGTTTTGTGCCAATATAAGAGGACCAGATGGGAAAACATACAAGAAAATGGACAAAATTAGCAAGGAATTAAAATTTTTGTTTATGTAATGTATTTATGGATAAATGTGCAATTAATGTTTGTAATAATGTTAAAGGTGGATTGATTTGTATGTTGAATAAAGTATATGTGCAGATTGTTACATTGCTGATTAAGAATACAAATGTTTTGTAGTGAATTTCACATGGGTTATATGATGCAACAGGTGATACAACAGGGACAAAGCATCCAAAAATTCATGTCAGAGCCAACAGTACAGTATTGACAAGGAAACTAGAGTGAATAATTGCAAGGTTATACATCAATGGCAAATAACTTGTATTTTATTTAGATAAATGAATTTGTTATACTTTGGAAGAATGGTCACCAAAGATGGAAACTTTTTTTATATAAATACTACTAGTATGTAGACTATGCATATATATATATATATATATATATATATATATATATATATATATATCTCCATATGGTTTCATGTGCAACAACTCTTTTGCTTCCCTTGTTATGTATGAGAGTTGGGTATATTAGGAGAAACATAAAAGTTGAATGCAGTGGGAATGGAATACTTAAATGCGTTTTGTGGGAATCTAGAGGAGGTCAACAATGAATGGAAGTATAAAAAATGTGACTCAAATATGAAAGTATAAAAGATGTATGCCTGAGGATGGAATTGCAAATCAAATATAGGAAACAGAAAGCAGACTGGGAAAGTTGTGGTTGGATGGAATGGATGGGACCACCAGAAAGTGTGAAAAGTACAGGCCATGTATAAAAAGCAGTGCATGAAAATGGTGAGAAGTCAAGCTGATTTGCAGAGAAAGAAGAGCGGAGAAGAATAGGGAACGCTGCCCGTATAAATTACAATCAGCTACGTTCTATTTCACATTTGAATTTTCTTTGGCTCGCCGTCCTTTAACTTCCTTTCTCATCTTTACATAACTGGAAGGGGCGCAATGCGATGGGCATGCATTTATATAAGCTCACGGATCCTACCAAAGGCTCCAGTTCCCACCGCAGGGCAACCTGGGCTTCTGACAATTGGGCGGCCATGAACCCGCCACGCTAATCGTGGGACACAAAAAACTTCCGCCACCCCCGGAGAGGGCAAGGGTGAAAACGAAGAGAGAGACGAGCGTCGTCCTAAAGGAGAGCACCGCTCGCTCGCTCGCTCGCTCACTAGCGCTCGACCAAGGTAGCCGCTCCGATTTCCCGGAGTATCTTCTTCGGGCCGTTGGAAATGCGCAATCGCGGGACTCAAGCTAGGCATTCAATTCAAAGTTCTCCAACATCCCTCCATTGCCCACCCCCCCCCCCCAAAGCTGAAGCGCCCCGAGAAATAGAGTTTGGCGGAGACGACGGAACTGCAGCTTTTCTTCTAGCCAGTGTCCTCTTTCTCCCCTGCCCAACCCCCGTCTCCACCTATCTTCTTCCCAGTAAGCGGGAAAGGGAGAGAGAGCGAGCGAGCTCCGGAGCTTAGTAGCTTCTGCTTTTCGGGCAAGGTGCCATCCAGGCTCTTCCCCCAATAGCTTCCCTTTCTCTTTTTTTTTCTTTTTTTGCTCGCTGGATTCCGCGCGCACACACGCTTAACCACCACCAACCCCCCCCCCCATTCGAAAGCGCAGCTCGCTCGGGGCGGCCTCGCTTTAACTGCCTCCTAAGTTGACGGCGTGGAAACTCTCGCGTGCAGACCTCTTCCAGCCTCGACCGGGAAAAAAAGGGGGGGGACCAGAACACACACACACACACACACACACACACACACACACACACACACACACACACGGAATTGGGCTGTTCGTGCGCGCGGACGGGGTGGTGGAGAGCAGCGCACCACTTGGGTCATTCCTTCCCCTTGGCGAGGAGGGAAGGATAGGAAGCGTGTCACCCAGCTCGTCCAGACTTCCCCCCTGCCAACGCTAGAGATATGCAAGGCTTACCTGGAGTAGCCCGAGAGCAGCAGGCGAACCTCCTGTCAAAGAGCCCGGCGCGACTGAGGGAAGGAGACGTCAGAGTTGAGGTGCTTTTGCTCTCGAAAGAAAAACAGTCCTCGACGAAAGAGATGCGAAGCCTGAGGGAAGGTTGGGAAGGGTGGCGAGGGGCGGTAGTGGCCGGAATTGAGAGAAGGAGGGAGAAGGGATGGAGAGGGGGGGAATCAAAAGGGGGGGACAAGGAAAGCGAAACACACACACACACACAAAAGGCGGAAAGAAGGACGAGGCAGCGGTAGCTTCAGTCTCAATCCAGGCGCGAAGAGAGGTGTGTAAATGCTGCTTTGCTGAATTCCTGCCCTATTTCTGCTGTCTGGACCAGCGCTGCGTGACGTCACCGGCGCATTTGCATATTCTACCCAATCGCTGACACCTGTGCGGACATCGAAGAAATGCCGAGGGCGAGGGAAAAGGGCGGGAGTCCCAGGCAGATGGGGAGGGAAGTCGGTAGAAGAGGCTCGGTTGGCCAAGGGCAAAGGAGGCGGCAGCGGCGGCCAGCTTTCCAACGCGCCACAGTGGGGATTGCGTGACTCGTGACACCTGGCCCTGGGTCTTTCCTAAGGCGAGTTTGCTTAAACCCCCTGCCTCTGAGTTGGATATTAGTAGGAAAGGCCAGGGAAAGTTTGTTTTTTTTTGTTTTTTGTTTTTTTTTTACTTTCCTTCCTGCTCCTCAGCGCCTTATGCTAGCTAATGGTAGGCTCCAACCTAGGTGATAATAAGTAGGCAGCTGCAGGGCTCCAGACCTGGAGAGAGAGAGAGCAGTGCCAGTTCCCTCAGATGTGGACTGGCTGCCTCTCAGAGACCGAGGGAAGCCAGCTGTTGCTGCATCTCTCCCTCTGTGTTAACAGCCGTCCCCTGTGATTTCAAGGAGTTTAATGACAGCATAATCAAAAAGTGTCCTTAATAAACTGGGCTTTTCGGTACTTAATAAATCATTGTAGAATTGCAGAATGCAATATATATACAAATCGGTGTAGACTCCTGGCAACCGCCTGGATAGGTCCCTGCAGTTTTCTTGACAAATTTCTGAGAATCGGTTTGCCCTTGTCTCCTTCTAAAGCCGAAAAAGAGAGCAACTGGCTCAAGGTCAGCCAACTGGCTTTGTGGCTAAGGCAGGACTAGACTTCACCAGCTTCCCATTTCTAGCCTAGTGCCTTAACCATTACACCAAACTGCCTCTCAGAATACACTAATGCCAATTTGGGGGGAAAAAAACAAACAAAATTGAGATAGGAAGGTTCCCAGCTGAAATGTTTAAAAGAGTTTTGATTTTGTCTTTGAAAAAACAGATTACAGAGACATTTGAGAGGTCAGGGGGATGGCTTCCTCAGCAGTGAAAGGATATCAGAAAGGGGAAATTGTCCTTTCTCTTGATTGATCAACTGCTTCCTTTTTCTGGGCAATACAGACCTGATGGATTCATAATAGCTGAATTATCCAGCAAGAGCAATGAAGTAAAGTACTGGAAGAACAAGTTTTGAAAACCTCATCTCTCTATGGAGAGTAGCCCTGAAGATTAGGGACCCCTGAGAAAGAATTTGAACCAAAGATAGGACAATAGACAGCAGCTGCAAGCAAAAGCAAAATTGCAAGATGGAATCTTGCAAAACAAAAATCATGGGAAAATATGTGTGTTTTTATTTATTTACTTAGTTGTGTGCTGTCTTTACTACTTTTACAGAAGACTCAAAGCAGTGAACATATCCAACACATCTTTCTCCTCCTATTTTCCCCACAACAACAAGCCTGTGAGGTAGGTTGGGCTGAAAGACTGAAAAACTGGCCCAAAGTCACCCAGTTGGCTTTCCTGACTGAGGCAGTACTTGAACTTACAGTCTCTTGCTTTCTAGTACAGTACCTTAAGCACTAGACCAAACTGGCTAATAAAACTCTCTTCTTGCAGAAGCTTTAGTGAAGATCTAAACAGCTTCATTTATTTTCCTTCATCTAATTCATAAATTGAAAAATACACAAAGAGATGATAAACTATTCATTTTGTGCATTTTGCAGCAACATTTGTTAGATGTAATTTATTAAAGGAAAAGGGTGTCTGGTGTCTCAAACAAAAATGAAACAGTAAACATCCAAATAATAGGACTGAATGGCATTATTTTGAGATAGGTTTAATTGAATGTGTAACTTTATGACTTCTGGGAAAACTAATATTAAAGTAAATAAAGCAGATTTCTCAACTTTTGGTAGTCTACTCCTTTCACTCTTTGGAACAAGGCAGGATCTATAGTCCCATCCTATTGCTGCAAGATTAAGGTCAACTGATGCCCTAAGCACAGCCCAACATTTCTATTGTTCAACTGGCAGGCTCAATAAATTAAACTGAAGTGTGGTTGTGAAAGAGTTAAGGGCATCATAGCAAGAGAAAAAAAACTCTGTGTTGCCCCCTTTCCCTTGGTGCCCTAACCACGTGCTTATTTTGCTTAATGGTTAATCCAGGGCTGATCCTATTATTAACAGGCAGAGGCTGAGCAAGGAATTTCAGCTGGAGAGAGCAGCTGTTAACTTGTCATACTCATTTGAGTGTGAAATCTCTTGTTAGATGGAATGGAGTGGAGCCAATCCCTAGCCAAATTGCCTATGGCTCAGAAAGAGAGGACAACTGAGAAAACAGGGGAAGAGCTGCTTTTGCTCTGCTGAGTAATGTCTTGATTGCTACACAACCAAAGAGATGGGACAGCTACAGGGAGTACATGTCGATGATATGGTTGACCCTTGCAATCTCCACTTTCATCCCTAGAAATATATATCATATATGAGCAGACAAGAGGCTTGTTACAAGTGCAACGTGGAAGATTGGGATCATTGAATGACATTTTCAGGGGATTCTCATATTCAGAATTCTGTGTGCTAAAAGAGAGAGAACCACAGCAGATCATCTTACTGTATATGTAATGCGTTCTAAATGTTTAATTTTTTTTTAAATAAAACAAAATTTTTCTACTCATTATAATTTAAAATGTAAATGTTTAAAAAATGCTGAAGTAAGAATATCAGGTTTACAATATTATCATTAGCATTCAGATAATGTAATTGAATGATAAAGTATAGATATGATGGGGATGATATGATAAAGTGTACAACAGTTTACATATTCTTCATATCTATTCATTGTAGTCAAATAATTGTATGGATAAGTAATCATGTTTGAAAAGTATCATTACAATACCTCATATATGAAATCATTCAACAATATGATTTCAATGTTTTCAGAACAACTGCTGCTTAGGTAATTACAGCATAATTTTATATAAACCATCCTGGAAATTGCTGCTGAGATATATAAATCTTTTAAGTAAATACATAAATGTTTACTCAGGAACAAATCCCATTAAGGTCAATGGCATGCATGCCCTAGTAAATCAGCTTTGGATTGCATTTAAATTAGAAGTATGGTTGTTTGAAAACTCCAACTCAGCTTAAAGAAGCATTATGTCTTATAATAGGGATGGCTATTAGATAAAATCTATATTGATTAATGCTCAGTGTACAGAAGACAGATAGTTTTCAAAAGCAGGAAGAATGTGATAGAAAACATATTTTTTAGAAAATCTGAAACTGAACACAGGAAGATTTTAAATAAACCTTTTTTACTAGATACAAGTAAATGCAAGTATTACATTATTGTTAATTAATTAGGGATGTCTCTTTTCTTGTAAATTATAGCTGTAGTCATCTATACCATGACTGTACTGCTTGCTTACATTATATTATTAAGAGTTTTTAAAAAGTAAATGATAATGATTCTTAGACATGTTCCTAGATATACTAAACAACCTGAATTTTGGCAGCACATATTATTTTGAAATCAAGAGTTGATATAAATAGAAGAAATGATAAATATATTTGATACTTCTTATTAAAAACTGAACACCAACTAATAGAATGTTGATTTCAAGTAAATAATATAGGAATGTTTAAGTGTCTTTGGCAAGCTGAAATAGAATATTGGTTCATTTTACTATTAGACAACTTTATATTAATATATAAATTTGCAGACGACACCAAGCTGGCAGGAATAGCCAACACTCCAGAAGACAGGCTTAGGATACAGGAGGATCTGGACAGACTTGAACACTGGGCGCTATCTAACAAAATGAAATTCAGTGGTGAAAAAAGTAAGGTTCTACATTTAGGCAAGAAAAAACAAATGTACAGGTATAGTATAGGGGTACCTCGCTCAATAGTAGAGAGGGATCTCGGAGTCCTAGTGGACAATCATTTAAATATGAGCCAGAAGTGTGCTGCAGCTGCCAAAAAAGCCAACATAGTGCTAGGCTGCATTAACAGAGGGATAAAATCAAGATCACGTGAAGTATCAATACCACTTTACAATGCCTTGGTAAGTCCACACTTGGAATACTGCATCCAGTTTTGGTCACCACAATGTAAAAAAAGATGTTGAGACTCTAGAAAGAGTACAGAGAAGAGCAACAAAGATGGTTAGGGGATTGGAGGCTAAAACATATAAGGTTGCTGGAATTGGATATGTCTAGTTTAATGAAGAGAAGGACGAGGGGGGACATGATAGCAGTGTTCCAATATCTCAGGGGCTGCCACAGAGAAGAGGGAGTCAAGCTATTTTCCAAAGCACCTGAAGGCAGGACAAGAAGCAACGAGTGGAAACTAACCAAAGAGAGAAGCAACCTAAAACTAAGGAGAAACTTCCTGACAGTTAGAACAATTAACCAGTGGAACAACCTGCCTCCAGAAGTGGTGAATGCGCCAACACTGGAAGTTTTAAAGAAGAAACTCGGCAGCCATTTGTCCGAAATGGTATAGGGTTTCCTGCCTGAGCAAGGGGTTGGAGTAAATGACCTCCAAGGTTCCTTCCAACTTTATCATCATCATCATCATCATTATTATACGTTTTAATCAACAGTAACACCAAAGTAGAACACTTCACAATGAGTAGCATTAGGTTGTTTGTGATAATTGTGATTGAAGATTACAATTAGAAAAAAATTGAATTAGAAAAAAATAAAATCTAACACAATCTACAAAAATATAATAATACAAAGAATAAATATGGTAGAAAAGAAAAAAAGTATATAAAGAAATAAATTCCTCCTTTATTACAAGTATAACCAATTTTAGTAACTTATCCCATCTCTTCATCTCATATCTGTAATGAAATGTGTGGATAACCTCGAGAATCAGGGAAAGAAATGCTGTCTAGGAAACAATCGGGAAACAGAGGCTGGAGCCCCCAGTGGATTAATGGTCAGAGAAAGAAACTTAGAAAGAACCCCTTTTAATTGATTAAGCAGTTAAATGTGGCAGTGGGAAATCTGAATCTTCAGACATGCAAGTTTCTGTTAACATATCAGCTCATCTAGTATTTTCTGTTTACCTGGGATGGCTGATATGATCCATTGTTTAACTATAAACAAAATCTAAACATTTTGTTATTTATTCCTTATCAAGAGAAGCTTATTAAGAGTCACCAGAAATAAATCTATTTTAGATTTGATCAAATACATTGACTTTATAATTCTTTCCTATACTTTTAACAATCTTGGTTTTTAGTCCCTTCAAATAATGTCTTAGAACTTGGTTTCATTTTACTTTTGGTTCCTTCTCAGGGAATCCTTCAAGATTTTAAAAGATCTATTTTGTACATCCAATAAGAAAAGTTTGTCCAAATCACTCTTGCTTTGGTACGTGAATGCCCCTTTTAAATATTAAAACATCAACTAATTTCATTTGTATAGCCAGTATATCATTTTTTCCATATCATTCTCTTGTCATATTTAATCTATATTCAAATGACTTTCAGTATTATCCAGTATAGCTTATTATTCTTCTGCGACATTATTAACACACTCTTTGTGTGTTGATAATGATACTAACTATAATATGGTCTCAGACATTCTTAATTCCTGAGTCCATTGTTAAAAAATATCCTTCAAAAAAATCTACTGTTAAAGTATTTTGCTCCATTCTTTATTAACAAGTTGAATTTAAGTATTCTTCTCCTTTAATTATAAACTTTATTTTTTCTATTTCCCTTAGTGTGTCCAGCTTTCAA